TCTCCTTTCAGCATGGTTTAGATTTTGTTGTAAGCGATGGTGTTTTCTGGTCACATCTGTTTGGATTCTGTGGCGGAAGCAGTCAATGTACAAGTCCAGTGTGGTATTGCGTCCATCAGGAGGGGTCCATGTGGAGTCTCTTTTTGTGTAACACTTTTTCGGTGGTAGTTGGTGGTCAGTGTTCTGTTGGGAGGGTGGTTGTTGTTCTCCAGTGGGTTGAGAGGTGTTGTGTTGTGAAGTTGTTGCTTGTTCTGTTTTGTCTTGTTGTTGTGTGTGTTGAAAATACTCCTTCAGGCGTAAACAGCGGAAAAATGCTTCCAAGTCCCCACAGAACTGAATCATGTGTGGGGATTTGGCAGGGCAGAATGACAGTCCATGTGAAAGGACTGATTCCTCAGCTGGGCTGAGTGCTTGCTGTGAGAGATTGACAATATTCTTGATCTTGTTTTGATTAGTAGCCTGTAGGTTGGAAAGGTTACAGAGTTTCTTGTTTTTCTGTTTTTTCAGTAGCTCCAGTTGAGAGTGGTAAATGTTTTGTTTTTCCTTTTGGAACTCTTGCCAAGCTTGGTGGTTCCTGATAGAGTTGTCCAATACAAGGAGTTCCTCCTTTATTAGCTTCTGTTTAGAGTAGAGAACGCTGATCAGATGTTTGAGCAGCTTCTTAGAGAAAGTGTTGCATAGTTTTCTTGCATATTCACCTAAACATTAGGAAGAACTTCCTGACAGTAAGAGCTGTTCGACAGTGGAATTTGCTGCCAAGGAGTGTGGTGGAGTCTCCTTCTTTGGAGGTCTTTAAGCAGAGGCTGATGGTTGGATAGTGTTTTCGAGGTTACCAGCATGAGTCTGACCAAACTGCGGGAAGTAGTGGAGGACAGAGGTGCCTGGCGTGCTCTGGTCCATGGGGTCACGAAGAGTCGGACACGACTAAACAACTAAACAACAACAACAACAACAAAGCAGAGGCTTGACAACCATATGTCAGGAGTGCTCTGATGGTGTTTCCTGCTTGGCAGGGGGTTGGACTCGATGGCCCTTGTGGTCTATTCCAACTCTATGATTCTATGATGCAGCTTCTCCCTAGGCTGCACCAGCCAGGGCAGCTTTGGCTGAGGTCCTGCTGGCACAAGTGCATACACACACACACAAAGGGGGGAAAATTTACTGGACCTGATATCTTTTGTCCCTTCCATGCCTTTGCTGAAAAAAAAAAAAGATCCTAGGACTCCTGGGCTACTCCCTACAATGCAGAGGTCCCTGACCCATGTTGCATACAATCAGTGTTTCAGCATTTGGGGAAGACAACAGAGGAATGGGAAAAAATGAGTGGCAGGGCTTGACAATGGGTGTCTGTATCCACAATGCTCTTGCACAGGTCCTTCAATCAAATTGTCAACATTTAGAGAAAACAGAGGAAGCAAAGGTTTTGACAATGGGTGTCTGTCTTCAAATCTAGGCAGGGGAACATAAAGAAACTAGATCTAGATGTAGGAGGAAGCTGGAACCATAAGCACAGCAGGGTCTGTTCTAGTGAACAGGCAAGGGCAGAAAGCCCTTATTTATACCAGGAAGTTGTATACTTCCTGCCATTAATAGCCTTGAAAATGTTTGAGCATACACTCTTTGACGTAACTCACCAAAACAGGCCCTAGATTCCGATAATTTTTTCAAGCTGCGGGCCCCCTTGCCAAGAAAATACAAGTATGGTGTGAGGTACAAGGTACACAACAGCATTTAAACATGTTTGATTTCAATTGTGAGAGAGGATACACTTCCTTTTGTATATTGTAGCTCACAGAGAATATCTAACAAACTCAAATATGTGTCTGTATAGCCAGGATGACTTGATATATATCCCCTTGGGGGGGAATCTTACAAAATCAAGAGGGCAGTCCCCTCCTTGAAACAACTAGAATATAATAAAACTGAATGCAGGGGTCAAAAATTTTATTTCCTCTTCTTGACTTACGCTGAAACATTATTTTCCTCCTAGAAATATTTGTCCCTTGCTGTCAATGAGCATGTTTCTTAGAACTCTTTAAAACCACATATAAATTACTGTTGCTTCCCTGAGCCTTTGTTTATATTCCTTGCAACTATTGTCAGAGACAAAAGAATGGTATTAATGGGTAACAATAAGACTCTTATACCGTCTCTTCAAAGCTATACTATGTCTCCTACTGTTGTTACATAAGAACTTCAAGTCAGCTGAGCGCTATTTACATTCCACACACATATAATGCTAAGTGTTATAGACGTCATTCTAGTCACTGTGACCAGCAGATGGGGAGAACTTGTGTTCCTAAATGTGAATAAAAGCATTGAGATGAACATGATGTATGTTTGCTTTCTCATTGTCATTGTTATTAATTTGCTTAGCTACTGTTGCAACCCACCTTGGATCAGGCCATGGCCCATCAGTTGAAGACCACTGTTATTGGGTACAGCAGAGGTTTTTGGCCTCTTTGAGTCCATGGCTCCCTAAGCCAACTCCGTTCTTTCTGCAGCTCCCCTGTGGGGCTCAGGAGCCCAGTTATGTCACCCCTTGCCCGCAGAGCTGGCAGCCTCTCACCTTTTCCAAACACCCTCCCTTGCAGAGTGTTCCCTCAGCCTCCTCTCTCCTCCCCTGCTGCTGCCACCCCTGGTCTGTGAGCTACCCCTTCCCTCTTCCCCAAAGAAAGGTGCCTCCCAAAGGCACCATTCGCCAGTGGAGCTTATTGCCAGGGCTGCTGCAATAAACAGCTGTGCCAGCCTTTGGGAAGCAGAGACATGAGAGGGCATCAGAGGAGGGAGGGAAGGAAAGAGGGACAGAGGTTGGTGTTACCTGCGGTACCCTGACCATCATTCAAGGCACCCCAGGGTTAAAAACCACTAGGGTGCAGTCTTTGTTCATGCAGAGGCATGTGGGATGTATAGGTCTCTAAGTCCTACTCAGAGTATCATTGAATCATAGAACGTCACACAGGACATTCACCACCTTCACTGGTTTCAGTTAAAAGGAGAGGTAGAGCTAAGTATAATCCGCATACTAGTGAACACCCAGCCCAAACTTCCTGATGATCTCTCCCAGCAGCTTCATTTAGATGTTAAAAAGCTTGCGGGAGAGGACAGAGCGCTGAGGCACTCCACAAGTGAGTGTCCAGGGGTTCGGACACTCATCTCCCAACTCCACTTTCTGGACACAGCCCAGGAGGAAGGTGCATAACAATGCCCGCGCCTCCCAACTCTTCTAGACAGTCCAGAAGGATACCATAGTTTGATACCATGGTATCAAAAGTCACTGAGAGATCCAGCAGAACCAAGAAACAGCTTTCACCTCTGTTCCTAGCCTGCTGGAGATCATCGAGGGCTGTACAAAGTGGGAGGCGGACTGCCCCGGGTGCCACTCTGGGGTGTGTGTGACAAGATGGCCCCTGCCTTCCTCCAGCTATAGAGCAGCCAAGGGCGTGCACAGTCCGTACAGGCTGCTGCTCTTGCACACCCTCCATATGGGCATCTGTACAGACTGCCTCTCGCATGGAGACTGTATGGGATGCCGCGCGTGCGCAGTCCGTATGGGCTGCCACACCCCAGGTGCCAGAGAGGGTTCCTCCGCTACTGAGATAATCAACCAGCGATACCAAGGTGGTTTCAGTCCCATGATGGGGTCTGAATCCTGATTGGGAGGGATCCAAATGGTCTGCATCCTCCAGACATGCCTGGAGTTGTTCAGTGATCACCCACTCAATCAACTTGCCCAGGAATGGAAGATTTGAGACTGGGCAATAATTGGCTATAATGCCTGGCCCAAAGCTATTTTTTTAATAACCTCTTCTTTAAGTGGGCCTGGATGGGCAAGGATCAATTTTATGAGCCAGGGTGGGCAAGGATCAAAAAGGCAGGTGATTGGTTTCACTTGTCCAAGCAGCACATCCTCAGAGGTAACAGGTTGAAATTGATCCCATATAACTTGACTAGACAGAGCTCTGGCATTCTCCCTCCACAGCCTTGCACCACGGTGGAGTCTACCCTTTTCTGAATCTGAGCAAAATCACTGTAGTGAGGGCCCCAAGATCTCCTGCAATGATTTTGTAAAGTTTTTCTGCAGATAAAGTTATCTCAGAGAATGTGGATAGGCTGCTTGGATGAGTGAAACCAATCACCTGTCTTCTTGATCCTTGCCAATCCTACCCAGACAGTCATTAGCTCTGGTTAACTCCGCATTCCAGTGTACCACCAGGGAATCAGCTGAGAGGCCATCAGCACGGGATAATATATCCCCTACCACTCTCTGAAAATCATTTGGATCCACTAAGTGGTGAGAGCAGACCATTCAAATCGGTCCCACCTCCCTGCATCGGGGAAGGTCACTGAGAAGTCTAGTTGCACCAGGAAGTGATCTAACCATGACACTTCTTTTGTTCCACTTAATTGAACAAACTCATGCCCAAAGAGCTAAACACCAGATCTAAGGCATGTCTGCGGCTAAGAGTAGGGCCAGGAGCAGCCCCATGGAGGCTATGCTTTCCATGAAGTCTTGAGCAGCCCCTTGTAGGGTCATGTTGGCATGGTTGTTAAAATCCCCAGGGACCACCAGACTAGGTGTCTCCAGAAGAACATCTGCCACAACCTGAAGCAGCTCCTCTCCCCTCCCTCTTTCATAGCTCATATATGCACCTCCTGGCTGTATGTGACTAGGTGCATATGAATGGGAGGAATTAGATCTTCCTGTGGATTCTGAGCATGAAAAAAGCATAGGGGGCTGCCTTATCTTGAGTCACATTTTTTGGTCCATCTAGCTCCGTATTGTCTATGCTGACAGGCAGTAGCTCTCCAGAGTTTCAGACAGGAGACATTCCAGGCCCTGCCTGGAAATGCTGGGATGGGGATGGGGGTCCTTCTGCATGCGAAGCAGATGTTCTACTGCTGAACCACTGGTAACAAAAGAGCCAAGACTATGAAACTACTTACTGGTGTGTTTACCAAAAGCTGTGACTTTCCCTACTGTTTTTATCTTCTTAAAGGGTAGCAACCTGAGGAAAATACTTCTCAATCGCTATTTTAAAGGTGACTATGGAACCAGTGTCAACGGTCCTCTGTCCAGCAACTACAGCAAAGCAATGCAAGGAGGAGGTACGGTAAATAATTATAATTAACAAATAAGTTGTTGAACATCTACAATAAGAAACTATTTCTGTTCAAAATGGAATATGTCTCAAGCAAGGAAAAATGCAATTTGAAAAATCAAGCATACACATCCTTTGATTTCCATGAGAGAAAGTAACTCTCCTATTGAAACCAAGGGGGACTGTGGCTTGATTCAGTGCAGGAAACCAAATATGTTCTGTGAAATCTTGTACATGTCTGCTTAGTTTTGACCCCCATTGACTTCAATGGGATTTAGTCCCTGGAGTGTGAAGGGTTGCACACACAGTGTGGAACTTACTTTCAGATAAGTAAGGTATCAGATTACAGGGTTAAAGTGCTTAGCTTTGACCTGACCTGACCTGGCCTGGCCTGACCTGAAAGCCTTACACAGAACTTAGTGCATTCAGCACTAAGATTATTTTTAAAATCGGGGCCACCAGGTGGCGCGTTGGAAGATGGCCGACAATAACATCTCTCTGACCCATACAAGGTATTAAGGGACTGCTATGGGAAGTATGCAGCCTCCCCCCCTGGATATGGGGGGGGCACTGTCCTGCCAGCGGTGTTCACAATGCACCCCCTGATCCGAGAGATGGGGGTGCCGAACACCTGGCACAGGCCCTCGGTGAAGTCAGATCTTCCTGACGCCGATTCCAATTAGCACGTGCTAGTTGCTTCAGCTCGGAATTATAATTGGAAACATATGATTGGAAATGAAGCTGAAAGCACATACATCAAGTAAAGCTTGACAGATAAGACTGCTGATTAATGGATCTCTGCGACTAGGAGTGACGGATGGATAAGTAAATCTTCTGATGAATCACCACAAGGAGACTGTATGTTTGGAACGAGGGGGGGGGGTGGAGGAAAAAACTCTTTTTTTCTTTGCACGATGTGATATTAATAACCCTTCACCCCAGATAGAAACAAGATCGTCGCATTTTTATGAATCATAGGCAGGATTTTAAGAACTGTGTGGGATGCATTGCAACAGGAGAGAAGACTGGTGAACAGTGAGAAAGAGGAAAAATTTTATGACGCAGTTAAAAAATGGCATCTTGCCAAGACAGGCTTGCTGCAGAAAGAAGGACAGGGGGAGGAGAATCAGGATCGTTCGAATGAGAAGGAATGTTGGAATGCAAGTTTGACCTGACAGAGCCCCCTGATTCATTTGATTTATTTGGTAAGCCTGAGAAAAATAAAGGACAGACCGGAGATTAATTTTGTTTATGGAAGCGTTGTACAGAGGCTGTCCCTGACCGATATGATTTTTGGAAGAGTACAAAACCCACACAGAATGCCAGTTTTCAACCTGCTTGTGAAAATCATCAGAGATCGCAAAGAAAGGAACATACGATAACAACAAGAAGAGAAAGGAAGTAACAAAGGACTATCCGGATCAAACTGGATAGAACTGTCTAATTAAAGCAGTAAGACAAGTGATGCCTGTTTTGGACTCATGCGGAGCTTGATGTATGGGTACCCCCAACAAAATTTAAAATTTGGCTGTATAATTTGGAACTAATGTGATATGGATAATGTGATGTGATTGGCCTGTTAATAAAAATTATTTTTTTAAAAAAAAAAAGATTAATTTTAAAATCAATGTCACCCTCCAACAGAGAGTGCAGCATACTCAAGTCCATTGATTTCAGCAGGCTTAAGCACCCTCAGTGCCACACTGGATTTTGGCCTAAATGTACTTATTATTATTTATTGAATTTATATACCAGGAGGACTCAGGGCAGGTCACAGACTAAAATCAAATATAAAACCACAAAAGACATAATCAAAATAAAAACAACTAACCCCCCCACACACATTTTAAAAAGACATAGGATGTCAATCAAATCAACCAAAGGCCTGGTTAAAAACTAACATTTTTGCCTGGAGAGAAGGCAACAGGCAAACTTCCCTGGGGAGAGCATTCCACAGATGGGGAGCCACTGCAGAGAAGGCCCGTTCTTGTGTTGCCACCCTCTGCACCTCTCGAGAAGGAGGCATATGAAGAAGGGCCTCAGATCATTTTCAGGGACTGGGTAGTTTCATATGGAAAGAAGTATTGCAGTCCTGATCTGTTTAAGGCTTTATAGGTCAAAACCAGCACTTTGAATTGGGCTCAGAAACGAATTGATAACTTGTGCAGTCGAACCAGGATTGGTGTAATATGCTCAAGCCATCTTGCTCCGGTGAGCAACCTTGCCACTGAATTCTGCAGTACCTGAAGTTTCTGAACCATCTTCAAAGGCAGCCCTATGTATATCACATTGCAGTAATCTAACCTTGAGGTTACCAGAGCATAGACAACAGTAGTTAGGCTATCCCAGATAGGGTGAGCCACTAGCCGAAGCTGATGGAAGGCACTCCGGGCCACTGAGGCCACCTGAGCCTCAAGTGGGAGCAAAGGATCCAGGAGGACCCTCAAGCTGTGTACCCGCTCCATCAAGAGCAGGTGACCTCCCACCCATCTGGTCTAGGGAACCCCTCACTAACAGTGCCTCAGTCTTAACTGGATTGAGCTTCTGTTTGTTGGCTCTCATCCAGTCCATTACCAAGGCAGGAACAAATTTATAAACGAACTTAATTGTGTTGATACAAAAATTGCACTAATTTTGCAAGAAGACAAAACTAAAATTTGTGACCTCTGTAAACTAAACATGTTAAGCCAATTTCTATGTTTTAATTATTTTGCTTAATTCATATTTATGTTATTTCCCAGTAAAGTGGGGGAAACTATTTGGTGGCCATTGAAGCCCCTGCTTCCTGAACACTGAAAATCTTTATGACATTTTTCATATACTTTCAGGCCTCTCTGCAAAGCCATGAAGGCTAGAAACTTGGAGCACAGTGCAGCAGCAATTAGTCACAACTAGCATAAAACTTATTGATTTAAGTGAGACTAATGACTACTTTATTTTTAAAAATAAAATAAAAGCTGAAATCCCCGGGAAGTTGAATTCTGCATCCAGCATGCTTTGGTTTTGTACAGTGGCAGAATGCACACAGCCTTGACCTTGCCACTAACATTAGATTTACAGGACATGGGGCAGTTAAAGTAGAGGCTGGTTAGGTCAAAAGTTTACAACAATCTCTTGGAGGAGCATAGACCTATTTCTGATGGATCCCATAGCAGCACCTGTGCTGGTAGCTGATCTTCTAACAAAGAAAGCCAGTTGAGGTAAACATTTCCTTGATCTTGCAAAGCCCCTCTTACGTTCTAAAGGAAAAGTGAGGGACAGGAAGCTACAAGTCAGACTGTTTGTCCACCTCTGCTCCAGAGTGCATGCTTTGCAAAAAATGTACACTACCACGGAGCTATGGTCTGCCCCCACCCCACCCCAGAAAAGATGGATACTTACAGTTACTCAATCCAGTTTAGTTGTGCCTTCAACTGTTAGAATCATAGAATCATAGAGTTGGAATAGACCACAAGGGCCATCGAGTCCAACACCCTGCCAAGCAGGAAACACCATCAGAGCACTCCTGACATATGGTTGTCAAGCCTCTGCTTAAAGACCTCCAAAGAAGGAGACTCCACCACACTCCTTGGCAGCAAATTCCACTGTCGAACAGCTCTTACTGTCAGGAAGTTCTTCCTAATGTTTAGGTGGAATCTTCTTTCTTGTAGTTTGGATCCATTGCTCCGTGCCCACTTCTCTGGAGCAGCAGAAAACAACCTTTCTCCCTCCTCTATATGACATCCTTTTATATATTTGAACATGGCTATCATATCACCCCTTAACATCCTCTTCTCCAGGCTAAACATGCCCAGCTCCCTTAGCCGTTCCTCATAAGGCATCGTTTCCAGGCCTTTGACCATTTTGGTTGCCCTCCTCTGGACACGTTCCAGTTTGTCAGTGTCCTTCTTGAACTGTGGTGCCCAGAACTGGACACAGTACTCCAGGTGAGGTCTGACGAGAGCAGAATACAGTGGCACTATTACTTCCCTTGATCTAGATGCTATACTCCTATTGATGAGGCCCAGAATTGCATTGGCTTTTTTAGCTGCCGCGTCACACTGTTGGCTCATGTCAAGTTTGTGGTCAACCAAGACTCCTAGATCCTTTTCACATGTACTGCTCTCAAGCCAGGTGTCCCCCATCTTGTATTTGTGCCTCTCATTTTTTTTGTCCAAGTGCAACACTTTACATTTCTTCCTGTTAAAATTCATCTTGTTTGTTTTGGCCCAGTTCTCTAATCTGTCAAGGTCGTTTTGAAGTGTGATCCTGTCCTCTGGGGTGTTAGCCACCCCCCCCCCCAGTTTGGTGTCATCTGCAAATTTGATCAGGATGCCCTTGAGTCCATCATCCAAGTCGTTGATAAAGATGTTGAATAAGACCGGGCCCAAGACAGAACCCTGTGGCACCCCACTAGTCACTCTTCTCCAGGATGAAGAGGAACCATTGATGAGCACCCTTTGGGTTCGGTCAGTCAGCCAGTTACAAATCCACTGAGTGGTAGCATAGTCAAGTCCGCATTTTACCAGCTTCTTTACAAGAATATCATGGGGCACCTTGTCAAATGCCTTGCTGAAATCAAGGTAGGCTACATCCACTGCGTTCCCTTCATCTACCAGGCTTGTAATTCTGTCAAAAAATGAGATCAGGTTAGTCTGACATGACTTATTTTTCAGAAATCCATGCTGACTATTGGTGATCACAGCATTCCTTTCTAGGTGCTCACAGACTGTTTGCTTAATGATCTGCTCCAGAATCTTCCCTGGTATTGATGTCAGACTGACTGGGCGATAATTATTTGGGTCCTCTCTTTTCCCCTTTTTGAAAATAAGGACAACATTTGCCCTCCTCCAGTCTGCCGGGACTTTGCCTGTTCTCCAGGAATTCTCAAAGATGACTGCCAGTGGTTCTGAGATCACATCTGCCAGTTCTTTTAATACTCTTGGATGCAGTTCGTCTGGCCCTGGAGACTTGAATACATCTAAACTAGCCAAGTATTTTTGTACTATCTCCTTAGTTATTCTGGGC